TGATGAGTGATTTTATTTATAGTGTGCAACATCAGAAAGTATGCAAATGATGATGTGACCTACAAAATAATCATCTCTAACCTCAACTTCACATCCTTGTGGTCCCTCTCACAATCAAGTGCTCTAATATCGTGCATTCGATTATATTTAATAACAAGTAAATTGTTAAATGGTACAACACTTCCCTAGAACAGTATGATCTTCCCGGGATAACAATCAAAACGCTAGTACCGGGAAGATGCTATTAAAGATAGTTTCCCGTATGTAAGTGAGTAAACTTTCAACCATTGATGAAGTGTGAGATTATGCTGTTACATTTCTCATATGATTCCATGGACTAGCACACTTCTCTATTGTGAGTTTATGTGCCCACAATCCACTTGCTTTTTGTCAACGTTTCAATTGTAGCACGCACCTCATCGCAATCACAAGAGTCCCTCAAAACCCTTTTCACCATCCCACCACAAATTGTCCATCCAAAAAAGGGGATTCCAAACCGGATCAAAAGAAGAGATGGGAAGGGAATTTTAACATAAAGCAAAATTCTAGAGACACCAAAGCAGCCAAAAAGCAGCATTTTGATATGACTCTCCTGTAGTTCCCACAAACAACTATGCACGTAAAAAAGTTTAGGTTTTCTTTTTCTCTTTATGTATGTGAAGGCATCACATGGTTTGATGGAATCCCATGTTTGTTTCAACTGCATTGGAAAGTGGGGGAGATTAACAGTTCATTTATCAACCTAACATGTGTACTCTACAGGTAGCGCATCTAACCTTTAGGAACCCTGGGAAATGCTGAACTTGAAGAAGCATTGTCACTCCAAGCATAAGGCAAAAGTAAAAGCATTTATCAAAGTTGCATGGAATTTTATTTATTAATTTTTCTGAAAAGAAAAAGTGCATTGCCACTTGCGACAAAAGTTTTGTAGAACAGGAGCTGCACGGCAGTAAAGAAAATACAAGTCCAGAAGAAAGCAAAAGCCAAAAATTCTTTTCTTACTTTGAAAAAATTAAATACATTCATTGATATATTGCAGAAAGTGCATATCACAGTGAATAACTTCATGTAACCTGAGATCTATCACTCCATGGCAAACCCACAGTAACAGAGGAAGTGCCCATATGGGTTTCTGAGGAAGTTGGAAATTTACCCTTCTTAGGCCATAGCCAAATTTTGGAAACAGAAAAGCTTTCACCTTTACTTGCACTGTTAATTTTTTTCCCCTCAGCATCACCATCACAGTGGGAATTCCCATTTTGTCCAGCTCTCCCTTTCACAAGCCTCACACTATCACCACTTCCAGCAGCAGCAGCAGCAGCTGCTCTTTTGGGCCTTAAAGCCACTTGCAACTCTAAATCAGCAACCACATATTGGTATGATCCCATTGAGTAACATCTCCTTGCATCCAAATTACTACTGCTGGTCTCTCCCTCTGCTCTCTCCACTGCTGCTCCTCCACCTCCACCTCCATCTCCCTCATCATTTGTGCTTCTGAATTTACCAAGTCTCACAGAAAATACCTTTTTCTCACCACCATTCTCATTATCTGCAGACTTTTGGCCAGTAAGAACTCCACTTCCTTCATTGCCCAAAGAACCGTCTTCTTCCCTTAGATCATCAAAATCAAAGACTGGGTTTTCAATGGAAATCCCTGGCGTGTACAGGGTCCCTCTACAAAGCGGGCAAGTTGAATTAGACAGTAACCATGTGTCAATGCAATCAATGTGAAAAGCATGACTACATATGGGGAGCAATCTCAACTGGTCCTTTTCAGAAAACTCACACAGACAAACTGGACAATCAAATGGTTCTCTCGCCTTTATCTCTTTATAAAGGAATACAGGAAGAGCGTCTATAAAAGCTTGATCTAAGCCAGAATCATGAAGATGGAAGAGTTGCTGTAATTGTCTCCGATAAACTTCAGACCCAGTGAGTTCTGGGTATCTGTTAGATTCAGATACTGACGAAGATCTATGCTTTGTGAGAAATCTAATAAGCAAGTGAAGGATACCAGATACGAAAAATATAACAGCTAGAATAATTATGATAAAAAGAACTGATGGGCTTATTTTACTACCAGAGGATGATGATGGGTTTGAGTGTCTTTGGTAGTCACTATTGTATGGCAGTGAAGGAGAAGAAGAAGAAGAAAGAGAAGAGGAAAGCAAACGAGAGCCAGGATAGATGGTCAGAAAATCATTTCTTTGCCTGGTTTGAGCTTGATTCCAAGACATTTTAGGATAGTGGCACACTAAATTCACCATCAAATTTTAGGACTTCCTTAGAAACCAAACACACTTTCACCTTTTTGTAAGCTCAAGAAAACAGCTTCCTTGCTTGCATTCAGATCAAACCCAACTCATACTTTGAAGTGAAGAAGCAACAGGCACATTATTTCTTCTCTCTCAACAAACCCAATTGAGATTTAGTCAACAATGTGCAAAAAAGAACAAAACTTTGACCCAGACTTGCAACTTAAACCATGGCTCTAGAAGGCTATTATTGGTACCAGAAACACCACCTCGGTGTTTTCAGTTTTGACATGAAACCAAGGTACTGGTGGTATGCAAGAACATAAACAAGGAACTCACTTTAGAGTTGTTCAGTTTGCAGTGTACCTACCTCAACTCTGGAAAATCTGCCATTAATGGAGCCCATTTGTCATGTGCTTGATGAGTATTGTGTTGGTCTTGGACAGTGTTGCAGTGATGTATAAATAAATAATTTTAAAAAAATTCTAAACAATATTTGGGCGGTACTCATTTGAGGGGTTTCAATTTCTTTATAGTGGAACTGGCTGCAGAAATTTTAGTAGAAGTGGGCTGGCAGCTTCAAAAGGGCAAGTCGAAGGGTAAAAAGGTCAATAATAAGGACAGCGGCCTTATACGTGTGCGCATAGCCAGTTTGGTAGATTGGGCGTGGACATTCTTAGATTTTGCCAATTTTCTTTCCAATTTATGGTGCAAATTTGGGAACTTGGACTTTTGGTAGTTCCTTTGTGGGTCCAAAAATAGTTTGGTTTATTGGACTTTTTATGTTTTTATAATTAGAGGGGAGGGGGTTTCAGTCCATTGGACTTTTGGTTGTCTGATTTCAATTGGGTCTAAAAAATAGTTGTAATGGGGTTCAAAGCCCATTTACTGACTCCCTTCAAAGATTATTATTATTATTATTTTTAATACAAGTTAAGACTGTTGATTTGCAAGTCAAGTTACGACGGCACCGCTGATTGCACGTCAAGATCTCCAAAACAATAATTGTCCTTCCATCTCCAAAACATAAGGGATGGGATATGAACAACAACCAGCCAGCTGTTGCAGACTCTTCTTCAATTTGTCCTGTTAAGATTTTCATGATATAAATAGGAGTGGTGGTAGTCAAAGGTTCCCTTGATAGTCCAACAGGGTCCATCCTCTTCAACCAACACTTAAATTGTTTCTGCATGCCATCACATATTAATGAATTTCACCTTCATATATGCAGCAGGAAATCTTGCCTTTTTACTATGTTCTGTGCTAAACCCTAAAGAAAATAAAATAAAAAACCCATATAACAAATTCCATGCATATTACATCAAATTTGCATGCTTTGGGCTCGATCGATATTCATTTCAATTTTAGTTTTTAGTTTTCATTTTTTATGCTAGAGTATAGAGGAAAAAGAGTGAGAATGGAAGTGAGAATGAGAGTGGAGATGGGATTGAGAGGAAAGATAAGAGGAGAGGATGGGAGGGAGGAGTAACAAAAGTGAAACAAAAACTAAAAATTGAAATCTATTTGAAATTGTTTTCACTTTTGTTACTCCTACCCGGTGCAAGACCTTAATAAACTAGCTTAAGCCACATATGCTTCTTGAATTAATAATGCAGAAAAGCCCCTTGAGATGATATTTGATTTCTAAGTGGAAGGTGAATACATATCTGAAAACGAATGAAGGAAGTCTCTCGGTATAAAAATATATATGGCTGGAAATGAAGCTGGTAGGTAGGCCATGGGATACACGTTGTTTGGTCTGACATTAGTATGTTTTTGGCCAGACATATGTAAACTGGTACATACCACGATATGGTGGCTTAAATTGAGAGATTCTCTCCTCCTTTCAGTTTACGTGACAAAAAAAGGACCATAGTTGTCCTTCCCTTTGTGTCCATCTGCAGGTGGTCTCTCAGATCTGAATTAATTTTCATCCACTTTTTGTTTGCAGTTTATAGGGTCGGAAACAAGTTATCTCAATTCACTCACGTACATTAGAATAATTTAGAATATCGCTGATGGATGAATCTAAGTTAATTAGTGAAGGGATTGTGGCGGATATTGCAACCAACAATGAGATGCTAACTTCCCAACTGCTTTCTTGCATGGAGATCCACCATAAATATAAACTATAAATGTATGTTGGGTTGGTTTACTTTCTAAGTGACTTGTTGACCGGGGAACAAAAATTAGCCTCAAAATCTTTCTATCTTTTCATTTTGTTTTGTTCTGATTTGGGCCCTCCCTCTGTATATTATATTTTCCAGGTTACCCCAAATCAGTAAAATAGAAACTTGTATTTTATACAGTCAAAACTTGCACAAAATATAGCACTAGATTTTAAGTTTGCCAAAACTATAATTTTCGGATTAATTGAGCACCAAAGTAGTGGATTGGAGAATTGTATATCCAAGCAGTCAAAACTCTCAAAAATCCCGAATTCCAATTTAAAAAAACCGCAGTATTCATTGATTCAAGTTATAGCACATGTAATAATTCCATCCCATGCATGTGAAGTATTAAGTTGATTTCGAATTAATCTTCCTAAATTTGTTGTTAGCTTATAGCTAGCCAAAGAGAAAGCAAGAGTAATATATTTATGAGAATTCCAGCTCTCCTTCATGGATGAGGTTCCTAAATTCAGTTACTGAGTTGAGATAAGTATTATCCCCTCTGCTGAAATGAGAGAGAGAGAGAGAGAGAGAGAGAGAGAGAGAGAGATGCCCGGAAAAAACTAAGAGAAAGAAACATACAATATGTTACCATTATATATAACATAATTAAGTAGGTAAGATCGAAATGCAGGCATCACAAGTAGTAGACTGTAGACTCCTCATCTCATAGCTTGTAAATCTTGGAAAGCGCTTGCAAAACGTTAACTTGCAACCTCAACTGTAGTATATAGTCGGCGGTTTGAAGAAAAAGCCGGTCTGCCTTCAACCCTCTCCCTCCTGGAATCAACATTTGCAGCTTCTTCACCTTCACTTGCACTGTGGACCTGCGGCCGCCACGACCACCCACCTGCCTCTGCCTCTGCCTTTGCCTCCGCCTCCTCGTCATCTTCATCTTCATCCTATAAGAAGAGTGCGCTTTCAACCCATTATAATTACTCGTAGAATTATTCATTGTGGGTGCTGAGCTATATATCTAGCTAGTCGAAAATAAATGAGAATGAGATTTGTTGTGTTCGACCAAAAAAAAAAGAAAAGAGATTTGTGGTGTTTGTGAATAATATTGTTGTAAATATTTGGTTATAAAAATGAGAGATGGTGGAGGATGAGAAGAGGAGGGCTATCTATATATAATGCTCTCTATGCTATAAATGCTACTTCTAGGCTCTAGCACTAGCTATTAGCTTAAGCTTATGGAGTGTTTAAGGGGTTTTTTTTTTTGGGGGTCGGAATTAGGGGGTTCAGTTCAATTTCAATAGGACGGGGGCCATGTGAGCCGAGCCATTCATGTTTTGTTCGTATAATTCGGCTTTTTGGCACTTACGGGTCGGGTCACGCAACCCGCCCGCCTTTGAATTTTCTCTCACGGGCACAATTTTGTTGTCGTTTGTCCATGGAAGCATGGCCCCCTCTGGGCCCCACTTTTGCTTTAACTTTCAAAGACCCGACGCACCTGTCTGACAGCTCGCTCCCTCCTCCTTCTTCATATCATTCTCGTCTCTCACACGCTTACAACCGTATCTGTCTGTCCCTCGTAATCCCCGAATCCCGACATTTGCTCTCCCCACACGTGTGCGGATCTGATCATCCACGTCTCCTCAACCCCATATCTGACGGCCGATAATCCACAGCATTTTTGATATCATCCGGGCCCCACTGCAGGAATTTAAAGGTGTTGTCCAACTGGGTTCCAGGAGAGATCTTAGCTGCACCTGCACTCGCACTCGCACTCGCACTCACGGTGTTTATACGTGATGCGAGATCAATCTTAGTGGAAGGAGCCCACTTCAGACAACTTGGGAGGGAGGTGGGTTTAATTTAAGCGTTGGATTTAATTTGGTAATAATTTGCTTTAAGGTAAGATAAATTAGTACAATAATGAAATATTATATATAAAAATAAAATGTTGGCTGGCAAAGACGGTTTGAATTGAAATGCAACCAATTGGAATGGATAATGGATAATTTCCCCCATAATTTTATATAATGTAACGTGGTTGGGCCCAATAGGGCATGTTTCCTCCTCTTTGTCTTGGCTATGGATCTTCTTGTTTTCCAAATAGATTATGGGTTATGTGGGAAACGATATTTTTCTTCTTTAGGTAAAGATATTATGGGCACGATCGTTTGCCAACTTGCCCAATGTTCCTAATAATGGGAGTAGAATAATTTTATAGCAATTGCATTGATAATTTTTTGGAAATAATTCTATATGAAAAATCCGGTATATTATTATTATACGAATTTGTTGATAACATAGCATGTTAAATATCTAGTAAGTCATTATAATTTTTATAATACTGTACCTGCATCACACGTACGTGTGTATCTTTGTCTTGGCTATGGATCTTCTTGTTTTCCAAATAGATTATGGGTTATGTGGGAAACGATATTTTTCTTCTTTAGGTAAAGATATTATGGGCACGATCGTTTGCCAACTTGCCCAATGTTCCTAATAATGGGAGTAGAATAATTTTATAGCAATTGCATTGATAATTTTTTGGAAATAATTCTATATGAAAAATCCAGTATATTATTATTATTATACGAATTTGTTGATAACATAGCATGTTAAATATCTAGTAAGTCATTATAATTTTTATAATACTGTACCTGCATCACACGTACGTGTGTATCGTGTATAATATTAATATATGTTTGTTGTTGTTATGAATAAATTAAGGTGAGGATTGCATAAAACCAAATTTGGATGAAAAGATAAAAGTGGTACACAAAGCTGCTTTGCTTTTGCTTTAGCATATGTATATATATGATATGCCGACTAAGAAATTTCCAGGCCCATGTGAGGACATAAATGACATCTCCACGTACCTTCACATACGTTAATGCAAAATTAAGGCATATGGTGTTTTGTGATCATACGTTAAGATTTATTGATCAGATATGCGTTACATGTGAGTCGTCGGTTGAGTTAATGCAACACAAGTTGGGTTCAAGAAAATGATGGGATCGACATCGATCGATGGAAGAAAATCATATGCATTGTTGCAGATAGAATAGAACCCAATCATTTAACACATGCATGCTTCCTGGCAATCGGGTTTTATATATCGAATCAAGCGTTCGAAATATATATATATATTTTTAATTTTTCTTGATTTTTAATCCAAATCGATCCATCCATCCATGGATTTAGGGTTGGGTTTACAGAGGTTGTTGAGGGGAACCTCAAATGTACATTTAGCTCCGCCCTGAAAGACGACACATGCATGTGTTGTGGTAGTTGCCGAAACGCCTAAGATGAAGCATATGCGCAAGAATAAAAGTTATTATGATTTATAGCTACATGTTAATTAATATCACGACCAAAAGCTTTGACTTGCTTTTTGGAGGTCAACTTGGTGGCCGCTCACGCACCACTGCACCACTGCACCACTGCACCACCATATATATGCATGTGGTCATATATCTATCACTCATTGCATTTTGATACAGATGGATGTTTTTGAGTCACAAAGGATTTCATGTCGTCCTATTGATTTTGCAGAATTAATATTTGTCGCATATGTATGTGTGTGTGCTGCTAACATTGGGGTCACTGATTAATCAAGCGAGCGACAATTAAACGAGTATGAATATGAGGGTGTCTTGATTGACATTGTTTGATAGCATAAGATCGCTGTGTGGCAGGATGTATAGTTTAATGAACTGTAGACACACCATGTTCCATTGAAACAAGGTTATAAGAGAGAGAGAGAGACAGAGACATAGATAGAGAGAGAGAGATGATCGAAGACACGTGATGATGGTAAACTTAGGAAAAACCAAAAACACAAAGCCACATGCAAAGGCGCGATGAGGGTAGGGGACCTCGAACTCAGATTATTAAATTACGGACCATATGAGTTTGGTAGGGTACATGTAGGGGTGGCAATTTTCAATACGACCCATTACATGACTCGAAACCAACACAGAAAAAACACGACATGAACTCGCATGATTAAAAAACGGGTCATTTTTGGGTCAACCCACCAACTCGCTAAAACACTTGTTTAACTCGTTTAATAAACAGGTCAACCTGTCAACCCGCTAAAATACCTATATAACCCGCCAACCCGCTAAAATACCTATGTAACATGTCAACCCGACACTTGTTTAACTCGTTTATTAAACGGGTCAACCTGCTAACCCGCTAAAATACCTATATAACCCGCTAGTCCGCTAAAATACCTATATAACCCGCCAATCCATTTCTTTATTTTTAAATTTTTTAAAATTTCTCATTCTCAATCTTTATATATAGAGAGAGAGGGCAAAATGCAATAATTATTTATATATAAAAAAAATGCAATTACTTAATTAATTTATCAAAATTTAGATTTTTTTTATTTGCTACAACTTAGCAGGTCAACTCAACATAACCCGAAACATGCACTGGAAATAAATGGGTCAACCTGAAAGTTACACGTTTATTAAACGGTTTGAGTTTGGGTTTACCATTCTTGACACGTATATAATCAAGGGCGGACCTAAGCTTAGGCTGGAGTGGGCTCCAGCCTAGGGGAAGATTTATAAAGTATTGAACATAGTTTAAATGTTATAAGCTTTATTTCTACTCTAATAAATATTAGCCCACTCCTAAAGCATATGGGAAATAATAACATCAATCCAAACCTATATAAATTCACCGGAAAAATCATTGTAAGTGCTTCAAATTGCCCCTTTACTTACTCAACTGGTGTGCAGATTACCTTATTTCCATTTTCAACATTTAAGTAAATGTCTTTGTCCTTTTACTTTCATTTATTTTTGTATTACTCCATTTACTTAAGTTTACAATGTAAATAAGGAAGTACCCCCCATTTGGATTGAAATAAAAATACTAGAAAATCAAATTCTCACCAAATCAAAATATGAAAAATCTGTTTTAGTGCAAAATACGATTTAGGCTAAAAACCCTCCGCTCAAAAATTTCTGGGTCCGCCAGTGGCTACACCCACAAAGAGCAAACATAAAAAAATTTCTTCTAGCCACCCAAAACGCCATATTTGAATCTTGAGAGTCAAGAGGAAATAGCTCTCCTCCTCTAAAAAATTTTCCAACCTATCTTCAGTAGGTTCTTCAATCTTGGTTAGTTTTTTTATTTTATATATATTCAATTTCCAATTTTAATTGTTGTTGTTAAGTTTTTATAATTTAGGGTAAAGGTGAAAACTTTTGGAGACTGTTGATATATATTTTATTTTTGCAACTTGAATTATTAATTAGCATATATGAT